TCCCAGCTGCCCATGTTTCGGGGCCCCTGCCCAGCCCTGGGGCCTCACTGGTGTCCAAGACACCCACGCGGGTCCTGCTAGCCAAGCAGCACAAGACACAGAAGTCACCTGTGCGGATCCCCTTCATGCAGAAGCCCACCAAGCGGGTGCCACCATCGCTGGCCAGGGCAGCCCCAGAGCCAGGCTCCAGGGGTCGGGTGGGATCCAAGGGGTGCCCAAGTGCCCGAGGAGGCCGCCTGGGCCTGGTGCGCATGGCCTCAGCCCAGTCCAGTGGCAGCGAGTCCTCCAACCGCTTGGGTTTCCAGCGGCAGCTGACCTTTATCAAGGAATCACCAGGCCTACTGCACCGACGTCGTCTGGAACTGTCCACGGCCAAAGCCACCCCCTCCACCTCCCAGGGCGGCTCACCCCGCCGCAGCGGGCCTACGCTGCCCACCGTCTTCCTCTGCTCCTCCCGCTGCAAGGAACTGCGGGCATCCTCCCCGCAGGCCCTGATTCCCCAGCAGCCCCCCACAGCTCGGCCAGGCCCTGGTGAGCGGCCACCAAGGCGCACTAGCTCAGAGAGCCCATCCCGTCTGCCCATCCGCAAGCAGGCCACCCAGCCCGAGGCAGTCAAGCGCTATGCCTCTCTGCCCCATATCAGCATGGCCCAAAAGCCAGAGGGTGCTGCCCCTAGTCCCGCATCTGACCCTGCCCGCCGCAGCAGCGATGGAGAGGCCCGGCCCCTACCCAGGGTGGCCTCACTGTGCACCACTTGGCGTCGCATCCGGGATGAGGATGTGCCACATATCCTGCGGAGCACATTGCCCTCTACCGCCCTGCCGCTCATGGACACCTCATCAGAGTGCCCAGGCAGTCCCCTGCAGCGCAAGACCAGCGATGCAGTGGTCCAGACAGAGGATTTCGCGGCCACCAAGACCAACTCCAGCACATCCCCAAGCTTGGAGAGCAGGGGCCCTCCCCAGGCCCTGGACAGCGGACCTACATCCCTTCTCGGCAGCGACGTGGATAAGCCTGGTCCTGCCAAGGCACCCACCTCAGCCCCCTTCATCCATGAGGGCCTAGGAGTGGCTGTGGGAGGCTTTGCTGCCAGCCGGCATGGCTCCCCCAGTCGCTCAGCCCGCGTGCCCCCCTTCAACTATGTGCCCAGCCCCATGGTAGTGGCCACCACCACTGACTCAGCTGTGGAGAAAGCCCCCGCGCCCACTGAACTCCTAGAATAGTTGCCTGGACTGGTTTTCTGGAACATCCTCTCTGGCCAAGAGCTATCTGGTTGTCCTGAGGGTGGTCCCGGGAACTGCCCTCAGAGCCCCACCCTGGCCCATGTCGGCCTCACATCTCATGCTTGCTTCTGTGCTGTGGGGACTAGAGAAGGAATTGGGTTGCACACTGGACCTCAAGTCCCAGCCTTGCCCACATGCAGAGACCACCCTCCTGACCCCCAGCCCAACTGCGCTTAAGCCTCAGCAGGACACTCATCTCTGTGGAACCACGGGAGATTACAGCATCCACCTGAGTGAGGGACAAGGCTTCAGAGGGTGGTGCCATCCAGCACAGGCCCGAGGCATCCATCAGAGGACAAAGCTCATTATTACCGGGGCAGCTGGGTAATTTTTAATGATGACTGCTGAACTGAGGGAGAGGTATAGCTGAGCCTGACAGAGACAGGCCCCTCCATTTTAGGTGCCAAGCCAGGGGCTAATGGACAGGGGGGGACACTGTCAGAACAGCCTGGAAGGAGCAAGGAGAGAAGGGCAAAGGCAGATAGCTGGGTGATGCGGGGCCACCCCATGACCCCCCTCCTGGCTGGGGTGGGTGCTGGTTTTGACCAAAGGAGGAAAAGGCGGACTAGGGAGGTAGGTGGAGGGAGTCAGGAACAACTGGCAGGTGAGGTACAGTGGAAAGGAGGATGAGAGTCAGCCAAATATGGTTCACCTTGGTGACACACAAAGCCCAGGATCTACAGGACGGCACAGCTGCAGGGACTGGGTGGGGCTGACGCCTAGCCTAGGAGGAGGTGGAGGGCCTAGAGTCCCAGTACTGCGGCCAGACCAGCTAGATTTGTAGAGGCCATGGCTGCTGGGGTGCTCAGTGTTGGTGTCAGTGAGGCAGAGATCAAGGGGCACAAGGAGCCTGGTGGGCCTCTGTGGCCCCTGCCAGTGTATACATATGCGGGGGTAGCTGCTGAGGTCCCTGCTCAGCTTCCTGCAGATACAGCCAATGGCCTCTTTCCTGGGAAAGCTTGGCTTTGAGAAGTAGCTGCTCTCGGGCTCACAGATCTGCCACAGTGCAGATGAGAGCCGCCCCAGAGGGGCTGGGAGCAGATGCTGTTTGCGGAGACTGGCAGCATGGTGACTAGATTTTAGGTCCCTTCTCTGGGAGGTTGGGTGGAGGTGCAGGAGCTCCTGTCCCTGCTCATGGCACCACTGTCCCTCCCTATCCCCTGTCCATGGAAAGAGCTGACCCAAGAGCAGAAGTGTTTACTGGACCATCCTCAGTTCCCCCAGTGGGGCTCTTGGGGGCCGCACTGATACAACTTCCACAGACACCGTGTTACTTCTGCTAACGCATCGGTGTCATGTTGCATTATAAGCCCTGGAACACCCTGTCCGCCAGGACAATTGCCAGGGCTCTGCCTCAGAAGGCCACAGGCATGATGCAGGAAAGGATGCACCAAGTACTCCTTTTATGACCAAACTTCTAGGATGAGCTGGCACACAGAGGACCATGGCAATGAGGGCTGGGCAGTATGTTGCATGAGCCCATAGCTGACCCCTTAGGACACACTGGGGGAAGGGGGGATATTTCAGATGCATCTCAGAAACCAGGACTCCTTGTCCCCATCCTTGACCTGAAGTGGCAGAACTGGGTGATCTCAACTCTTTTTAAGCAGGGGCTGTGAGACGTCTGCTCTCACACTCACCACGGGCCAGCTACCTCCCAAAATGGCCTGGTGGGAGGAGAGGCCATGCAGACTCACACACAGCTTGCCCAGCCATCGGGAATCTGAAGTGATGGGTACTGGGGTGGAAGCACCCATGCACTGTGAGACCCTGGGCGGTGCTCTCAACATTCTGTCTGTTTTCCCACATGGGCCATGAGGAGAACTCCCAGAGCTACCTCTAGAGCCAGAGTGGCTGCTGTGACTTGATGAGAGGCCCAGACCTCCCTGGCTGCCCCCTCCACCTGCCCCTTGTCTTCAGAGGGGGCAGCTTTCACCTCAGCCAGCACACCAGGAGTCATGCCCCATCTATGTCCAGCAGCCACATTTGCCTTCTCTGTTCCCGTGATAGAGGCACAGCCACACCTCACAACTGCGCAGGGCAGGACAGTGGCAGCCCTGGGCCCTGAGAAGAGTGGTGGTCACTGGACAATTGATTCTATTCCTGAGCTGGAGGATATCTCCCATGAAGCCTTGATCCCCTCAGGGCTGCTCAGCCACCTGACAATGCTGAGGGGACCCTGTTTGCCTCCAGAGCACCCTCAGCCCAAGACCTTGAGCAACCACCACCAGCTGGATGTTGAATTAGGGACAACATGCCTGCAGGTGCAGCATTACCTCACTCCCTCTGCCCCAGTCTGTCACCTGGCCAGTGGCCATAGCGTCCCAGCCAGAGCCTAGCTGTTTTGGTCCATCTATCTCTGTGCCCCTTCAGTCTATGCCCCGGGTCCCTGCAGTGTTACAAGATGTGTAAATACATATAGCCCAGTTTCCCCTCTCCCACCCCAGTCAACCTAAAGCCATCGTCTGGTGGAAGGAAGGCACAGAACCAGGCATCTTATGTGCACCTTTAATAAATGGAGCTGTTGAATCTTGCTCTCCGCAGCTATTTTCAAGTGGGTGAGGACTGGGTGGGTGGGGCTGGAGTACTTTGTGGGTTTTCCATCCAGACTGCCCGCCCTGGGTCCATGTGCTAGAGGCAGATCAGGCTGTGGGATTTGTGCAAGAAGAGCACTCAGGACAGGCGGATGCAGAGAAGGTAGCTGGAGTGTCTCACCGTGATCCTGGCATGAGGGAGGGCTCTGGAGCCCCTAGACTCAGACTCAGGTGACCCAACCTGAAGGCCAGGGACATGCAGGGAGGGGTGACCTCTCAGCCCAGGGCAGCAGGACACCTTGAGACATTAGCAGGTAGGCCAAGGGGTGCTGGACAGTGTAGCCTCAGTGTCCACTGCCCTAGCTGGAGCCATGCTAGCATGTTCTGAATGCCTGTGACCCCAAGGGTTTCATGGATCTTTCAAGTTTAAGCCGGCACCCCTTCTTCCAGAAGAAAGATGCTGGGTCACCCGTGTCAAGAACTTGCCTTGTTTGTCCATGCTTCCCTCAGCTCATGGGGAAACCTGGAAAAGAATGGCCCACAGAGGTACTGTCCAGAAGGCTGGTGGCAGTGGGGATTTCATCTGAGGGACTTATTGGGGACACCCATGACAGCTTGGTCTGCCAGGACGGAGGCGGCCGGATGAGGACTCCAGGCAAGTAATAAGTGACCAGCCTGTCCTATCTTGGGAGCCAACATCCCATCTGATGGATTCCACAGCCAACAGGTTGGTCCTACATCCCAACCATGAACCGGTCGCACAAGTGCTACCCTAGGGCCCATGCCTTAGATTGAGGTGCTCAGTGCCACTGGAGGCCCCATCTCAGAGCTGGGCCCTACTGGGCAATCTCTCCTCACATGGCCACAGCTACCAAAGTGAGAAAGGACAGAACCCCCATTGTTTTCTGGAACCTCTGGGGGCCCCACAGTTCATATAGAGACAGGCTCAGTTTAAATTTTTTTTTTTTTTTTACTATATTTTATTGAGTTTTTACAGAGAGGAAAGGAGAAAGATAGAGAGTTAGAAACATCGATGAGAGAGAAACATCGACCAGCTGCCTCCTGCACACTCCCCACTGGGGATGTGCACACAACCAAGGCACATGCCCCTGACCGGAATCGAACCTGGGACCCCTCAGTCCGCAGGCTGACGCTCTATCCACTGAGCCAAACCGGTTTCGGCGAGACAGGCTCAGTTTAATGGGTGATCAGTGAAGCAGGGTTACCAAAGGAAGGGAAGGGAGGATGGGTCCTGAAGCCCCAAACCAAGTCCAGGCTGACGGCAATCAGGCCCCAGAAGAGAAGCCTGCGGGTGAGTGGCATCCACAAAGCCTGTCCTGACCCTCGGTAACGGGCCTGTGCCCGGCTGAGGCAGGTGTGCCCCTCACTCTCCACTGTTCCTGCTGCAACCACACACCGGGCAGGCTCTGTCCCCTGGGGTCTCTGGATACCAAGGCAGGCTTAGCCATGAAATAGAGAGCCCAGAATCTGCTTCTGGGACCCACGGGCCCATGTCGATGTGACAGGAGGCCATGGGGTGCACTATCCAGGGACTGCATGCTCAGGCGAGCCCAAGGGTCAGTTCAGCCTGAGAAGGTGGTTGAGGCCCCTGACAGTGCCACCTGCTTCACCTGGACGACGTCCTGCTCCAGCTCCTGGCCAGCTTGCCGAAGGTCCTCACACCTTCGTCTTAGCTCATCACCTGCTTGTCTCAGCCGCTGGTTGGTGGCCACATAGGCCCGGCTCTGCTGGTAGAGCTGCTCCCGCTGGGCCTCAGGATTCTCAGCCCTCCGGGAGGAGCCTGGGGAGTCTGGGGACAGAACACAGACCCCTGCTCAGCGAGGGGGCTGAGAGAAGCTTCAATTTACCACCCCTTCTGGCAAATTTACCACCCCTTCTGCTCATGGAAGAGACCCTGCCTGGGGGTGGGTACCATTCCTGTAAAAGGCACTGACCCCGCAATGGAACCGCTGAGCAAGCTAGCCCTCATTCCTGTTCTTAAAGCCTCAGATGCAACCTCCTGCTCCCCCAAAAACTATCCCACGGCCCTGTAACCTTGCAAAATCTGACACTTACAATCAGAAGGCCATAACGACAGGAGGGTGTGGACACAAGTCTCCAGGTGACCCCACTTCCTAACAGTGTGCCCAGCTGAAGGAGGTGGGGTGAAGAGAGGTTGAGGGAGCAGACAAAGCACAGCTTCAGCGTCACCCAGAGACATATCCAGGTCCTCTCTGCTCTGCCTGGGCCCGTTTGAATGAAACAATGCCGCCTGCCATGCTTGGTGGCTGTCTGCTGTCACACCCCTGCAGGCCAAATGTCTAGCACAGACCCTACAAACTCTGGTATTAATCACTTTTCCCCACCTGCTTTAGAAATAAGGTGGAGCCGAAACCGGTTTGGCTCAGTGGATAGAGCGTCGGCCTGCGGACTGAAGGGTCCCGGGTTCGATTCTGGTCGAGGGCATGTACCTGGGTTGCAGGCACATCCCCAGTGGGAGATGTGCAGGAGGCGGCTGATCGATGTTTCTCTCATCGATGTTTCTAACTCTCTATCTCTCTCCCTTCCTCTCTGTAAAAAATCAATAAAATATATTAAAAAAAAAAAAAAAAAGAAATAAGGTGGAAATGCCAGACAGTGCACGTAAAGATTAAGTGTGGTCCTAATAAAAACACGGTCCTGCAGGGGAAGCACCTCTCCACTGAGTGGCCCCAGCACTGCTTGTGCCTCAGTTTCCCCACTCTACAAATGCTGGCGGACCTGTCCATGATTCTTTTTTTTAAAAATCTTTATTGTTGAAAATATTACAGATGTCCCCTTTTATGCCAATAATTCTTAAGTTGGGCTCAAGAAACCTCAGATGACCCAGACTGGAGATAAATCTGGCTTATTTTCCTAGGACTGCCCATTCAACAGAACATTCCTGGTGATGGAAAAGTCCTCCATCTGAGCTGCCCAATATAGCAGCAGCCACAAATGCCTCTTGGGCACTTGAAATGTGGCTACATGGAACAAAGAACTGAAATTTGTTTACTATTATTTAATTTTTAAAAATGGTTCCTATAGCGTTTCTCACTTCATATTGCCCATAAGACCCGTGTGTACTATCTTGGTCCTAATGGCCTGAGGGAAGGTACTGTCATCTCTTTTGTTCACCTGCTCAGCCCAATGCTTAGAACAGAACCTGGCACGTGAGTTCTTATTTTTGTTTGTTTTATTTTGGCTTTTTTGTTGTTGTTTTTTTGTTAATCCTCATCTGAGGATATTTTTTTTTAAAATATATTTTATTGATTTTCCACAGAGAGAAAGGGAGAGAGATAGAGTTAGAAACATCGATGAGAGAGAAACATCGACCAGCCGCCTCCTGCACATCTCCCACTGGGGATGTGCCCACAACCCAGGCACATGCCCCCGACCGGAATCGAACCTGGGACCTTCCAGTCCGCAGGCCGACGCTCCATCCACTGAGCCAAACCGGTTTCGGCCTCATCTGAGGATATTTGTTTAAAATAAATTTAGCTCCTTTCTTTTCTTTTTTTAAAAATATATATTTTATTGATTTTTTACAGAGAGGAAGGGAGAGAGATAGAGAGTTAGAAACATCGATGAGCTTTTTTTAAAAAAATATTTTATTGATTTGAGAGAGAGGAAGGGAGAGGAAAAGAGAGACAGAAACATCAATGATGAGAGACAATCATTGATAGGCTCCCTCCTGCAGGCCTCACCCTGGGGATCGAGCCCGCAACCTGGGCATGTGCCCTGACTGGGAATCAAACTGGTGACCTCTTGGTTCCTGGGTCAACGCTCAACCTCTGAGCCACACCCGGCTGGTCCGAGGATTTTTTAGAGAGAGTGGAAGGGAGGTGAGGGGGAGACAGGGGAGAGAGAGAGAAACATTGATGTGAGAGAGACACATCGATTGGTTTCCTCCCACACGCGCCCCGACTGGGGCTGGGGATTGAACCTGCAACCAAGGTACGTGGCCTTAACTGGGAATCGAACCCAAGACCCTTTGGTGCACGGGCTGAAGCTCTAACCACTGACATACACTGGCCAGGGCCATAATAGGTTTTTAATGAAGGTTTGTTGAATGAATAGGCAAACTTCATGGACCAGTACACAATTCACCCAACAACTGTAGGCCAAAGCCATTAGTCACTGACCTGTTACCATGTTCTCCACAAGGGACTGAGCAACTTTTCCCACAAATACATAGTTTTGGCTTTGCAGAGCCAGTCAGTCTGTCCTGACTACTCAACTCTGCCATTATGTCCTGAAAGCAGCCAGGTTCATTCATCCACAAACAGGCATGGCTGTGCACCAACACAACTTTACCGACACAAATCTGAACTTCGTACCATTTACACTTATCACAAAATAGTCTCTTAAAAAGCGTAAGCGCCAATCTTAGCTTCTTGGCCTTACCAGAACAGGCGGTGGGCAGGATTTGGCTGCGGACCCAGGCCTGGGACGCCCTTCTGAAGACGCGCCCCACTTTACAATGAGAAGAGAGGGCTCCAGAGGGTAAGGATCATGCCACAGTCTCTGCTCTAAAACCCACGGTTTCGCCCGAGCCGGTGTGGCTCAATGGATAGAGCGTTGGCCTGCGGACTGAAGAGTCTTGGGTTCGATTCGGTCAAGGGCACATGCCCGGGTTGCCGGTTCGATCCCCAGTTGGGGGTGTGCAGGAGGCAGCCGATCGGTGGTTCTCTCTCATCATTGATGTTTCTTTCTCTCTCCCTCTCCCTTCCTCTCTGAAATCAATAGAAATATATTTTTTAAAAAATAAAAATAAATTCCACGGTTTCAACGGACCTCCTACCTACACCCACTCTCCCACCCACCGCGCATCTGGGCTCCCCCTACCTTCCGGGGTCAGGGCAGTGAAGACTGGGTCCTCGGCGGGCGCACCCCGCACGTCCTCCAGGATCTGCTCCGTCGTGGGGGGCGCCGGGCGAGTGGGCAGCACCACGCGCTTCTTGGCCTTCGAGCCCATTCCTGCAGGCGAGAGAACGGAGCGTCCACCTCGCCGCCTTTGCCCCTAGTCTGTTCCAACGGTCCGGCGAGTACCTACCTACACACTCGTCCGGCCCCGCCCCTCCTGGATCGCCCCTCCCCTTCAGTGTCTAGCTCCACCTCTGCCTCAGTTTCCCTACTGAAACAGTGCCTATCTCTCCTCACCTGGGCACGCACCGGAGCTGAGAGCGGCTCAGAACAAAAGTTCTGCTTCCGGTCGGAGTGTGGCCCCGCCCTCCAAGTCCTGAGGCGAACTTCCGGTCTCCTCCTCCTCCGGCTCCCCCGCTCTTCATGAGGTCACGCCCCCTCTTAAAGAGGCCGCGCCCGCGAGCGACTTGGTGTGATCCGAAAGGAGCTGTAGCTCGACCAAAATCAGAGAACAAGCGACCTCAACCTCTCCGGACTGGAAACTCAAGGGGTGGGTGTGGGGTCCAATCCAGGCTTCTCTCCTTGCATAACAAAGCGTCCGAGGCCCAGTTTTCTGCAAAAGGGGGACACATCCCCAACCCACGTGGCTGTCCTGAGAACAAAGTTCCTATCCACACAAGGAGGCCCTGCGCACAGAGGCCTTCAGTGAATGCTAGCTATGCCAATTACCAGCGAGGTGGCCAGGGACGCAGGACATACGCCAGCAACTCGCCTGCTGGATCTGGGTCCAGGTCTCCACTCTGATCTCTAAAATCCCCTCCTCTCTGGGTGGTGCTGGACCCGCTAGAATAGACAGGCTCAGAGCATAGGGCGATTTTTGAATTTTTTTAAAAATATATTTTAATTTTTTACAGAGAGGAAGGGACAGGTATAGAGAGTTAGAAAGATCAATGAGAGAGAAACATCGATCAGCTGCCTCCTGCACACCCCACTGGGGATGTGCCCACAACCAAGGTACATGCCCTTGACCGGAATCAAACCCAGGACCCTTCAGTCCGCAGGCCGAAGCTCCATCCACTGAGCCAAACCAGTTAGGGCGATATTTGAATTTTTTAAACAGCTTTATTGAATGTAAATTACACACCATAAAGTCCACTTGTTTAAAGTATACAATTCTGTGGTTTGCGAATATATATATATATTTGTGCAACCATTACCACAGTCTAATTCTAGAACATTTGCATCACCCCAAACCGAAGCCTATTAGCAGTCACTCCCCTCTACCCTCCACTAACCCATTTCCTGTCTCTGTGGATTTGCCTGTTCTGGATATTTCACATAAATGGAATCACAGTCTATGTGGCCTTGGGTGTCTGGCTTCTCTTACTGTTGAGCATCATGGTTCCAAAGTCCACCCACATTGTAGTGAGTGTCTCTGTTTCACTCATTTTCAGGGTTGAGTAATGTTCCAGGGTGTGAAGAGACCATGTGTTTATCTGTTCATCTGCTGATGGACACTTGGGTTGTTTCCATCTATTGGCCGTTGTGAATGTCTGGTATTCGCTGGCACCCTGCCCGGGGGGCGAAAGGACCCCCTCCCTCTCTTGGGCCGGTGAGAAGCTGACCTGTCCACACTGACGTCTGAAAACCACCCCACCCCTGTGGAAAATCCCTGCTGGACCATCGGCTCCCGGACAATGACCAAACCGCAGGACAGACCGAAGGTTTCACCTGACCCTGGAAAGCCCCGACTGCCACCAGTTTCGGCCAGCAACAATTGCCTCAGAAAAATATAAAACCTTGCCGAACACGCTTACACAGGTGTGTGTGTGGACTTCAGTTTTCCTGGCTATGTACCTGCAAGCAGAATTGCTGGCTTACTTGGTAACTGTATTTAATGTCTGTAGAACTGCCCAATGGCTGCCCCAAGTTGGTGCATTTTGGGTGCTTACTGTGTGCCAGGCAGGAAAACTGCCTCTTGTGATCCTTGCATTTGGTGAGAGGGGTACTCTTGGTGCTGTGGCACAGGTGAGGCTAGAGAGGCTCTGAGAGAGAAGCCAGGTGCCCCTGGACACACAGACTAGCCTTGCCAGGGCTGGGCTTACCTTCAGTTCTCAATCCAGAGAGAGGGACTGAGTGCAGTAAGATTCTGGGTGTGTGGGCATGACTAGGACGGCAGCTAGAGAGGATGAGGGAGGGAGATGAGGCTCTCTCCTCCCTTGCTGGCCACCCACTTCTGGTGGGCCCATCTGGGCACCCATGCCTCCTCCTCCAGACAAATTTAGCTCAGAGGTCTACGACAGTGTCTGGTCTCAAGTGCTGAAGCATCAGCCTCTCACTGCCCAGCTGCAAAGCCCTCAACAGAGCCTTCTTCCCCTTCAAGGTCTACAGTTGGGCATCTGAGCCCAGTAGCAGAACAAATTCCCAGGTTCCCAGTGCCACAAAAGGGGGTCGTTTCTGTGGCCAATGGGCTCCTACAACAGGTGAGACCTGCCCCTTGAGCCTGAGTGAAGCCCCATAGTCGAGAGCATAGGCCCCCTTTTCACTTCCTCATGGAAGCCCCTCCCCGCTCTGAAAATTGGGACAAACGTGTCCCCACCCCATTGGTGTGTATGAGGAGGGGCATTTAATAGCTCACTCGGTACCCCTTTTCTCACCCCCACACCTGAAGATCCTCTTTCTGTTCCAGAGAGGTGGGAGACCCCCTTTACAAATGGGGAAGTCGAGGCCGTAGGGGGATGAGAGCAATGTACCTCCAGCCCATAATTCCCTCAGCTTCCCGATGACCTTCAGGAAATGGAGTATAATTACTGGAAGCTCGTAGACCCTCTTCTGCTAGTTGTGTCAACCAGAGGGAAGGGGGAATGTGGGCTGGTTCCTAGAAGCTTGGCACTCAAAGCATGTGGGTATCGCTAGAAACCCCACCCATTCCCACCCCCACAGCTGGGGTCTCTGGGACCAGACTGACTCTCTTTGCTCTGTGGTTGCTGGGTCCCCCAGGGGCTGATGGCCAGGGAAGGTGATCTTCAAAGAGGGCACAGGGGACACCCAACCATGGCTGGGGGTTGGGGGGCCTGGGTGTGCCCCAAAGGATACCAGAGACTTGGCACCTCCTATTAAGCCTTTATTGCAAACTCTGAGGTCAGACATGGTCCCTGAGACTCTGGATAGCGTCACTGGCTCTCCCTCCCCCTCCCCCCAGATTCTGGGGCAGAGAAGGGATGTTGGTCACCATTGTGGCTTGGCCTCTGCCTAATCCCACCCACCGTCATCCCAAACATACACACACACACTGATCTGGAACAAGGGAGCAGGGCAGTAGTCCCCACCAGAGACCTAAGCCAAGGAGGGATGTCCAGCCAGCAGTTGGTGATGAGAGTGGCTTCCAGCACTGGGTGGGGGGCTACACAGGGGAGCAGGCAGCCCACGGAGAGGATGCTACAGAGGAGGGGGTTCCCAAAGGCCACGATCAGCCGGGCTGTGGCCTCTGTGGCAGTGGTGGGTTGTTCCAGTGGGCTGGGGGTGGCCTTTGTGGGCGACAGGCCCTGAGCAAGAGCCCCCGTGCTCATCCAGTATGTATGGTGGGCAGCAGGCGATGCAGTTGAGCAAGGAGCTGCCATAGCAGGTGTAGCAGAAGTGGCAGCTGAGGCACACATGCAGGGTGGGTATGACTGTGACTGGGCACCCAGACCCAGCAGTCATTGCCTTCTGGGTGTAATTGAAGTACTGCGATGGGTAGTGGGAGAGGCAGAGGTGGCCCAGGATGTAGGCAGGACTGTGGCATTCTGCATGGGGCATATGAACATGGAGGTGAGGTTGAGGTATACAGCCCTGGTCCACCTACCCTTCCTGGGCCGCACACGCACACTGCCAGCAGGGCCATGCCTCACTGGGCACTCACCCTGGCACAGCCCCTCTGTGTCCCGCTGCACACACGCGCTGCTGGTCACCTGGGGGCCTGGAGGCCGCACTGTCATATCCTCAGCTGTCCCATAAAGCAGCAGTGTGTAGCGGTACAGCGTCCCTGGGCAGGGGTCATGGTGAGCACAGGGATAAGGGGAAGAAACTATCGGTGGTCTAATCCTGCCATTTTGGACCCCACTCCCCAGTTATCCCCACCCCACCCTGAAGCTGCAGACTCAGATGGTGCCCCGGCCCTGAGTAGCCATTGTGGGATGATAACTGAATGCCTATTTCTACTATGCAAGATCACTGGGAGCCCCACTGCAGTGAGGTAATTCAGGCAGGCCTCAGTTTCCAGCCTGTGCCTGCCTCTCACCCGTGTTGAAATAGTAGCCCTTGTTCTCCAGGCCCAGGGTCCACAAGCCCTGCGGGTCCTCATCCCAGAAGTGGGTGGACATAAAGATCCACTTGTTATAGCCTCGGCCGCTGACGTCGAATGGTCTGGGACAGACAGGTGGGGGTGGGGTAAAAGAGTGGATGACTATAGTCATGAAGGGGCCACTGAGCCACAGCACATGTCTGACTGCAATGCCAAGTGCTGCCTGCGGAAGTGGCCCTCACAGGACTGGTCACCCCTGCGCAGGCCACGCCTGACTCCAAAGTGCACTTGTCCCTCCCTGTGTGGACCCATAGGGTAGGACCCCCGACCCTGACCTGATGGCCACAAGTGTGGAGCGGGTGCCCATGGGGCTGGTGAGCGAGATCTCCAGGTCCCCCCGGCGGCTGTAGGACAGTGACAGCTGCACCTGCACATGCTCCAGTGAGCGGATGTAGTTGGCACGGCCAGCACAGGCCGACACTTTCTTTCTCATGTGCATCAGCGCCAGGATGGGGCTATGGGTGGCATGGGGCATCAGGGCCCCTCCTGCTGGCCTGCTGGGGGGGATGGGCGGCCAGCAGGCAGGGTCTGGGCTCAGATAATGGGGCCCACCTCCAGGATTTACTGAGGCCTCAGGGCCTGCCTCCCAAGTGTCTGCCTGGGTGTTAATGACAGGTGTGGGAGAGGACTGGGGATGTGACGGTGTTGTCGGAGGAATGGGGAGGTGGCAGGTCATGCACAGTGGCTGGGACCGAGGAGAGTGCTCACGTGGGTTTGTGGAGGACTCGAATGGTACATTTCTTCTGGGGCTGTGTGGGCAGCCATGTGCGAGCCAAGTCTACCAGCAGCCCAGCATCCAGCAACCCATAGCCATAGTGGTGGCTCACTGTGTGGAGGGGGGCCGTCACTCACTCTGTGGGCATGGTGTCCCCACCCCCACCGGGCCATGCAGTACCTTGACGCCCCACGCCATTGGTCCTCCAGTCCTCAGCCTGAAGGTGTGCCTGCCTGGATGCACGAACCACCAAGTGCTGCATGTCCCTCCATGTCAAGAACGGGCTGGGGGAGGTGAGGGAGTAAGCTGGGGCCACAACTGGGGGGCCAGGGTGGTAGTAGGGTCCCCACTGTCACCTACTTGGCCTCCAGCGCCAGAGCGATTATGCCTGCAGCCAGTGGGGCAGAGGCCGAGGTGCCTGTATGCTTGTCGGTGCACTGGTGGTACAGGTCCGTGGTGACCTGGGGGCAGAGATGGGGATGCGGGAGCCCGGTGCACACGAAAACCCAGCCCTTGGTCACATGGAACCAGGGACTCAAGAAGGCACTGCAGAGCATTACACCAGACAAGGGGCCTGAGCACTGCCCAGGTCCACACCCCAGAAGCACAGGCCAGGGTGTGTGAAGGGGCAACAGTGGGATGGGGCCTGGGACCCACCTCTATGTTCCAGCACTGCAGGAGCAATCCCTGAGAGAAAGATAAGGGAACAGGAGGGAAAGGAAAGAATGTGGGGGGACAGGAGGGAGGATGGGGACCCAGGAGGGAAGGTTGGGGAACAGGAGAGAAGGTGAGGGATTGAGGGGGATAGGTGGGAAGGCAGGGACTGGGGTAGAGGGGGCTGGAGGGAAGTTAGGGGGATAGGAGGGAAGACATGGGGACTGGAGGGAAGGTGGGGAAACAAGAGGGAAGGTGGGGGGACCAGGCTGGGCCAGAGTGAGCATGGTGAAGGGGTCCACTCACAATTTGGGGGTCGGTGACAAGGCCACTGCTGTAGGTGGTGGTGAGAGTGGAGGCACAGGCTTCGCTGTACCAAGGCACATGACCCTGCTGGGTGGTGCTGCCCACAGAGAGAGTGTGAATGCTGTTGGTGTAGCCGTCACAGTTGCAGTTGTCATAGTGCAGGCCGCCATTGCCAGATGCCCAGATGAAGAGTGTGCCTAGCCCACCTCGGCCCTGCAGATGGGGACAGGACAGGGGATGGGGGTGTCAGCCTTTCATTGCAGGCACAGGCCCTCCAAAACCCTAGATCCTGCTCACTTTGGTGACGCCACGCCTGAAAGCTTCTCGGGTGAGGATGCCTGGACCGTCCACCGTTCGGCCATCGTCCTCGGGGCCCCAGCTGGCACTGTAGATGTGGATGTGCTGCGGCTGCAGGCTCAGCGACTGGGCCTCAATGACATCAGTAATGGTGCCATCCAGCATGCGCACGCCTGCACAGGCAGCTGTCGGTCCTCTGCAGACAGCCCTGCCGGAACCCTCACCCATCCAGGCCAGCTCCAAACACCCTAGCCAGCCCCTCTCTCTGCTCCTGGGGGTGGAGGCATCTGTGCAGGCTCAGCTCTCCACACGCTGAGTCTAAGCAACTAAGGCGAGGGCACCAAGAAGTTTCCTCCCCTGGTTGATCTGCCAAATCTCCGTGGTGTTATCAGCCACCCAGTGCCACCTCATCCAACCCCTATCCTTGGCGCATTGGAGTACCTCCAATTCGGGCGTTGTAGGCGACGCCTGTACCACAGAACCTGTTGTTAGCTATGGCTGCTACTTCCCCAGCACAGCGGGTCCCGTGCCTGATGTCAGGGCAGAGAGGAGTGCCTGTCACAGCTCACCTGGCCCTCACAGGGCACAAGGGCCACCCCCAGACCCCCAGGCTCACCGGTTCTCATCACTGGGAGTGTACCGTGGTTGGGGGTCTGGGTCATAGTCGTTGAAGTCATAGCTGGCCAGGGGATCCTAAGCGTGAGGTGGGGATGTGAGGGGGTTGGAGCAGGCCATGGGACCGGGGGAGGAGGGACAGCCCCCGCCCCAGTTCAACTCAGGCTCACATAGTTGGCCCAGAGGTCTGGGTGGTCCTTCTCAATGCCATCGTCCAGGACAGAGACCACGATGCCCTGGCCTGACAGCCCCTGGTTCCAGACTTTCAGGATGTTTAGATCCGGCTGCATCTTGTTGTTCTACGCCAGGTGGGGGCTAGAGTTAGTAGGGCTCTGGCCTGGCCTGGCCCGACCACCTGGCCCAGCCCGCTCACCATGTACCACTGCTTGGAGAACCAGGGGTCTGTGGGTGCCACTAAGGAGCGCTTCACACGCCACTGCAGAGTCTGCTGCTCAAACCACTGCACCTGAGAGGGACATGCAGCAAGGGAGGGGGCTGGACCAACAAGCCTAGCCTGCCCTCCTCCCAGCTATCCTGCACTTTATTATTTTAAAAATATCTTTTTATTGATTTCAGAAAGGAAAGGGGAGGAGGAGAAAGATAGAAACATCCATGATGAGAGAGAATCATTGATCAACTACCTCCTGCAAGGACCCCCGCTAGGGACCGATGACCGGGAATTGAACTGTGACCTCCTGGTTCACAGGTTGATGCTCACCCCTAAGCCACACCGGCTGGGCTATCCTGCACTGTAGAGGGCCATGCTCCACAAACGAAGGCCTGCCCCTCTGAGCCCTTTCTGCCAGCTCTTGGTCCAAGGGCCCAAGCCTGTGCCCAGGGTCTGCATAGGCCCCGTCCCAGGGTCCAACAAGGGGCAACTGTCCTTGAGACTGTGCTTGTAGTGGAATGTGTGTCTGGGTTGTCTACTGCTTGTGGTGTGGGACGAGGCCTGGGACCTTGTGCTTTCTGGGGCTGCTCGTCTGGGTCCCCATGTGTCTGGGGCTCTGCCCTCAGAGGGTGCCGAGACGCTTGGAGCACCCATCCTCAGGGCCACAGATAATTGGTTACTGCCTGAGGTGGCATGGAGTCCTGGGGTCCCAACTCTGCCCGTTCCCCCATCCCTGTTCTAGAACCCCCTGCCCAAGACCTGCCCATCTCCTCCTGCAGTGGCCACTGCTCTCTACCACCTCCTGGTCCTCTAGCTGAGACCTCCACTCTTCTTCTATAATTCATTCTCAACACATAGCAGCCTTACTCTTTGTTGAAACTCTTCCAGGGCTTCCTACCACACACTCAGGGCCCACAAGGCCCTGCCTTCCTTTGATGCTGTCTCAATGGCTGCCTCACTCAGGGCTTTGGCACATGTTGTTCTGCCTGACTGGGCTGCTCATTCTCAGATCTTTGCTCTTCTTCCTTCCTTGTTGATCTCCCCACCCCTTTCCCCCAAAACCAGCTCATGTCCCTCTACTCCCATTTCAGCAATCAGGGCCATCATCTCCTCATTTGCTCTGTTCCAGTCTTGGGAACTGTCGCATGCATCTGATCCATCGGCAAGCCCTGGCTTCCCTCTCGCAAACCACATCTGTCGCCAATGCTCCAGGCAGGTTTTGAACAGTTGGGCCTCTTGTCTCCTTATGGATCAGCTCCCCAGCCCAGTTCATACCCCTTTGTGGCTCCCAAGTACTTGCCAGACTCAGCCTCAAATCCTCAGCTTGTAGAGTACCTGGGAATCTTAATCATTCAGGTCAAAATAGAGGAGGTAAGGGGGGTGGTTGATAAGAAATGTTGATAGTGTGCCAGGCCCTGGAATGTGCATCACGCACACACATGATCTGTTGCTCTCCACAGATCTTTCCTGTCTGGGTCCCCACTGTGTGGACTGAAGGATCAGGTGAAAACCAAGACTCAGAGAGAGCAGGTGAGTTGCCAAAGATCACAGCCATTCATAACAATCACAAGAATAACAGGACGTGTCTAAGACCCTGAGGGGGCAGCCTCAAGGCCAGGCTCACCTTGGGGTCTTTCTTCAGGCGCAGGCGGTGGCCCCAGTGCGGGGTCAGGGACTGCTGGACCACACCCCTGTGCCGCAGGTGGAAGTACTGTCCATCAGGGAAGATCTGGGAATGTGCGGGAGCAGCTGATCGCTAGGACCCGGCTTCCCTGATGCCCTGCAGGATGTCCCGTTTGCATCCTCCCCCAACCAGATGCCCTGGTGCGAGCTTCATGTGCCCTCTGGGGGTCCTCGAATCTGAAGCAGGGGTTGGTTGGGAGTTCTTGATATCTAGGGGACCCGAGAGACACCTTCCCATCTGTCGGGGCCTAGTGTCTTGGGTTGTCCAGTCCCGCCCGCTCCTGTCCATCCGGGTCCCACCCACCAGCCCCAGGTTGACGAAACCGAATCTGCGTGCCAGGCGCTCGGCCTCCCGGGAACCCTCAGACACCCGCACGGCCCAGCTGCTGACATAGATGGGGGCCCGGGCCGAGACCAACCCCACAGACGCGGGGCAAACGAGGGCCAAGCCCAGGGGCAAGGCCAGGCGCAGCCAGAGATCAGTCCGGGTGGGCCGCATGGCGGCGGGGGCGGGGGCAGGGCCAGGCCTCCAAAAGCCCCTCCCCCTGACCAAACCGCCGCGTTGGCCCAAACGCCCGCCCCGCCCCCGGCACCATAGCAACCCTTGAAAGGCTTCAATTCCCAGGGGTCCTTGCGTCTCCCCTTTGGAGGCGCGAGGTCCCGACAGAAATAGGAGGGTGGACACACGCAGGCCCAATCACTCTGGAGCCTCAGTCTCCCTATTTGTATATTGACCCCATTCTTCTGACCCAGAGGAGTTCACTATTGTTATGATAGACCCCGCCCTTTTATTTAGCCGCACCCCTTCCTACACACCCCTCCCTAGAATCAGCCCCTCCTCTCCCGTCCAACCAGGATTGCTCTATAGAGTGAGCGCCACTTCTCAATTTAGCTCCGCCCCATACCCGCCCCTCAGATTCCTTCCCGCAGTCTTTATATTATGCCCCGCCCCTCCTCTGTTCTTGCTAATGAAGCTCTTACCCTTTCTCCAATCAACTCTGGTCTTTTTCAGGCCCCTCCCACCAACTCTGTCTACTACAGCACGCTTCTCTCCTCCCCCAGCTCCACTTACACCACCGCTCAGCCAATAATCCCCGGCCAAGACCCCGCCCCTCCAATCAGCTACGTCCCGCTTCCCCTCGACCAATCGGCGCCCTCGGCCTCTGCGCCCCGCCCTCTTCCTTCAGGTCGCGCCTGCGGCGGCCACTGCCCGCCAGAGGGCAATGAGGCGGGGGAGACGGGGCAGGCCCCACCTCCTTTGCCCGCCCTGCCCTCCCATTGGCCGGTGCGTCGGGCGGGAGGCGGGGACCAAACAGGAGGCAAAGACCAGCCCGGGAGCAGAGCGGTGCGACTCTCTTCTGAAGAAGGCGGCTCGTGCCCGGCGGGACCGGTGCGTAGCTCTGAGATCGAGCTCCGGCTGCCAACCCCGGTCCCGCCGTTGCCATGGACGGCCTACGCCAGCGCTTCGAGCGTCTTCTGGAACAGAGGAACTTGGCCACCGAGGCACTAAGGGCACTCGAAGCCAAGACCGGTGTCGACAAGCGGTACTTGGCAGCGGGTGAGCCGTCCGAGGGCGCTCGGGGCTGTCGCCCCATTTCACCGGCCTGCATACTGAGGCTCTGGGGCACCTGGGCCTTGGCCTGCCCCCATCCGGCCTGCCCCAGCTGCAGGGTTCGGGCCTTATGGAGGGGAGAGCCCACTGTCTAGTGGGGAGGCTGAGATCCTGGCTGGGGAGGGGTCCTCGGGTGAACCCGCAGCCCCTCCCGTGCCCTCGCCGTGCCACCTTGGGCCAGGGCCACAACTTTTCTGGGCCCCTGCAGCACCCCCACTCTGGTCCGCGTGTCTGGAGGCCGTCCTTTGCCCCCTCCCTTGGGGCTCTGGGTGCCCGCCAGGCCAAAGTCCGGTTCTTCCAGTTGCTCTGCAGGCCCCAGGGGTAGGAGAGGGGAGGAGGGGGCAGATAGGCCCCAGTGCCCTCAGTGTCTCTTCACCTCCTTCCCAGATGACCCCCAGCCTGAAAGCAAGTGTAGAGATCTTGTTCTTTCAGAGGGAATACTCCCTGCCAAGAGGAAGGGTCATTCCCACCTACTCTCCCATTGTTTCCCCTCTTGGCATGCCCTCTCCTCTCACTGGCCTACTGTGCCTGAATAGTTGAGTTGGAGTTGGATTGTTTGACAGTTGTGGTGGGGTTGGAGACTGATTGGATAGGAAACCAGGGAGAAGGGGCTCCAGCCACCCCTGACTGTAACTACCATTCTAGTCCTCCCACTTTCTTTCCTCCTCAATAACCTGGGATGACCCCTGCCACTCTCAGAGACTGCCTCGTTCGTAAATGGTTAAATGCCTTCCTTCCCTCTTTCTCAGTGTTCAGGCGCGCCCACTCTGCCACTTCTTCTAGGAAGACCCCCTGGAATGAATCACGGAGATGCTGGTGGGGGCGGGAGCATGTTCTGGGTGCAGATAGTGCCAGGTGTTTTGAGCACCTTCTATGTGCAGATGCTGGGAGTCCACTTAACTCCCATGTCCCCACCAGCCGGAGATCCCCATGCCAGGCAGCCAATGAGGGTCTGAAATTTGTCCCCCAGGTTCCCAGTGCCCAACTATGACTGCTTAGCCAGGGACCTGCCCATGTGAGCAAGCCTGGCTTTCCACATCTCGGTACCAGTGGTTGGGCAATTTAGGTCATAGAGAACTGGGGAGGGGCCCACTGGGAAGAGGCCACTAGGGAGGCTGATAGTTAAAGGAAACTAAGGCCCCAAAAGGCAAGGGCTAGGTGGGAGGATGCCCCTGCCACCTGCCCTGTGTGGAGTATTCACCTCTCCTCACCCCCTGGACCCCGTCTGTTGTTGATCTCAGGCCATGCCCTCCCCCTCCAACCCATGTACAAGATCATCCTCCTATTGCTGAGGCTGCAGGAATAGGGATTGAGGGCAGGGGTGCCCTGGGAGAGCCACTGACTATCGGTTTCTGAGGAAGAGGTGACGTTTCCCCACCCCCTTGCCCAGATGTGGGAACCCTTGGGCTCCACATGTTGCAGATGGTCAAATACCCTACCCCAGGCAACAGGAGGAAACCCAGAGGAGCCAGCTGGGGAGGACTTCCTCCACTTCTGACACCAGGCTCTGGGATAAAAACGAATGCAGGTGGAGGGAAGTGTATGGGTGACTCTGCCCTTTGGTCCAGAAGGTGGCCTCTGTGAAGGAAGCGGGAAGCTGTAAATGCTCTTCAGTGACCCTGGGCAAGCCCCTTTCCCTGACAGCTTTTGTTTAGGTCTTGTCATTGCATGAGACAGAACAGAGAAGCACACAGTAGCACTTAGATGTGGCAGTTACAATAATTGTTTTCAGAGTGGCTGATGCTCCTGGCTCCCCATATTCCCACACTGTTCTCCTCTGAGCCTCTTTGCTGGGAGTGTTTTTGTGACCAAAGGCCCTCAGTAATGTAGGGAA